ATTCCATCGAAAGCCTTCCAACCTACTTTTCACCAGGGAACATCGGTCAGAGAATTTTATAATCTGTTTACAGCCACTTCAAGACAATTGAAAGATTTGCCTCTATCGATTAATAGGTTGGAATATCAACAGGGGTATACACTCTTTGCCTTTAATCTGAACACAGCGGATGACTCGGAGGCGCTTTCAACCGTTTCCACCGGCAACCTGAGGATGGAGATGCGCTTTGGAGAACCTCTGAGAGCCACGGCTACACTCATTGTGTATGCGTGTTACGACTCCATTCTGGAGATAAACTCAAAGAGAGAGGTATTGGTGGATTATTATTAATGGATAATCACGAATTGGACGGCATATTATCGAACCTGCTGGGAGATTATTTTGGTGGCGTGTACGCGTCTGATCAGCTGTCTACCGTCCCAAAAAACATTCGACTACCGGCCTACTTTGTGGTAAACACTCATCCTGTCCATTTACCCGGTGAACACTGGTTGGCGCTAGCTGTGGAACAAAATGGCCTCGGGACATTTTTTGACTCTTACGGTCTATCGCCTGAATTTAAATATTACCCTGAAAACATCCTGAATTTTCTAACAGAACGTTGTTCACGAATACAATATCAGGATCGTCAGCTACAGAGTTTTGCATCCGACCGTTGTGGCCAGCATTGTGTTTTTTTCCTGTGTCATAAGGCTTGTGGACTTTCTCTGAAACAAATTCTGTCTAAATATCATAAAAATGTAGATAAAAATGATGCTATGGTTTATCATTTTGTTAAAAAATTTTCAAATTGCATCAAACGTCATGATGTATACTACACACAGGTGAATTGTACTCTTGAAATGTTTAAAGAATGTCACGGACTGTGAAATTTGTTTTGAATAAAGTTTTATTGAACAAACAAGAGAGTTAAGGTGTAAAGCTGATCCATTTCTTCAATGTGGGGACATCGCTCCAGCTTGGTGATAAAATGATATTTCTCCTCGGTTTTTTCTTTTTCTTCTTCAAAACGTCTTCAGAATCCGGAAGTACAGCCCCTCCGTTCCTGAGTTGCGTAATCTGACGTTTCGCTAGCGGATTGGACACGATAGATAAGGGTACATTTTTTTCTACTAGAGTTTTTAGGAAAGGAGTCCAGCCCGTCGGTTCTGATTGTGGATGTTTTTTTAACGGGTTGCTGATGCTTTTAATCAAGTCAAGGATGTGCGATCCTTTCTGCACATCGCCTTTATATTTAAATTCCCCCGTCGGAGTCCAGTTTAATCGTGTCATTTTCAGCAGGTACTCGGCGTTTTTTCTTCCGCGCACAGGAAGATTCTGTAGCGTTTCATTAATGAGCGTGTCAGCCGCTGTTTCTACAGCTGACGTAGGCTCAGCCGTCACAGTGGGCGGTTCAGTGGGAGTTGCACTTTCGTGTAGTCCGCTTTTCATCAACTTCAGATAACGCTGTAGCAGCGCATTGTATTTTTTAATTTTCTCATACGGCGTTAATCCCGTCTCCTGCATAATTAATTTCATTTCAGAGTCAAGATTCTCTTCAGCCACGTCCCGTATTGTAGGTTTAACAAGCTGACGTAATTGTTGGGGGGTCACCATAAACATTTTTTGAGAAGCCATCGTTTATTTCCTTATTAAGCCACCTATCAGTTCGCCGATCAGAGGCGCAGCGGCTGCTAGTAGTATGGGTAGAAATCCGCCTTTCTGGCCGACTAAAAGCTTCTTTTTTTTAAAAAGGCTAGTTTTGTTATGAGTCAACTGTCTGAGCACCGTTTTGCTTTTAGACAACTTTCGAAATTGACGCGGCGACAGACGTATATTTCCTTTGATCACGTTTAAAGCTATCTCGCACAAAGCCTTCAGAACGTCCTCGGAGCACCCTTTTAAAAACTCCTGACGTTGACGATGCTTCATACGTGACAAAGCACGTAGAATCTTGGCGTTGCGTTTTATCCGGGCTGACATGGCTCTGTTTTAGGCAAATACACCGCGGTGAGCTGATCCGGAAGTAAACCCGTACGGAGACGGAAAGATTCTGGCGTTTCCGCTTTTAAATCCACAATTAAATAACCGTACGGTTCTGACGTAGCGTCTTGAAAACTCTCCATGAAATATCTTTTTTGGGTAGGATATATTTGATTTGCTAAAACATTGATTTGCAATTTGTCTCGAGGGTTTTTAAACAAAATCAAATAATTGGTGTTTAAGCTGATGGAACGACTATGTTTTCCTTGATGAAAAACATTTTGAGTGATTAAAATGACGCTCATATTTCTGTGATGTCTCAGCTGCGTAAATAATTTTAGCACTCCAGGATGGCTGGAGGTTTGAGACATCATGTCATCCAAGATCACCAAGTGGTTTTGACCCGATGGAAATAAATCATCATCCTCGAATGAAAGCGGGAGACCTTGAATGAATCGAATACTTTTATTACAAAGATCATCATACATAGGTTGATAAGATGTAAAAAACCACACGATGTTTTCAGGCATTTCAGTTAAACATTGCATACAATTTTCCAAAATACTTTTTACAAAAAAGGTTTTTCCACAGCCTGACGGACCAGCAATTTGTACACTGAATGGCAATTTTAGTCTAGCGTCAAAATCAGTTTCCATTTTTAATACCCGAATGGTTCTGTACTGCCGTCAGCAAACAACCTCCTTTTATCAAAAATCACACGAAACCTTTTCACAAATGAAACATTCGCGAGAGTGAGATCTTTTTTATCTCTCTTGATGACATCCTGTTGAGTTTGCAAAAATCTTCCCCTTTCTCCAGCCACATACCCCTCAACCAGCAGCGCTAAGCTGTCAAAATTGATGTGATCAGATGAAATGAATGACTGTGTGATACCCTTAGCCTTTATCACCACCTGCTGGCGGTCCCGGGTTTTGTAAGCATACGTTTTTGGACCGGCTGATGAAAATTCCGTGATGGAATCACCTCCAAGTTCGTCAGTTAGATCCCCCAGCAGCGGTCCTGTTGGTAAAACACACTCGTTCTCTTTGACAGAATAAATTATAGAATCTGTATCGTAATAAATGACGCGATTTCCCAGTTTGTTCAACGCATTTAATAATTTCAATCTGGCATAAGTTGTGGTGAATGCAGCTATAAAAATGTTGTTGCTTCTGCCAGGAGTCGTTAGGCATTTTTCTGCCAAACTGTGTTGCACCAGAACGGTTCCTGAAGTGAGAAAACTGAAGAATTTAACATTGTATCTCCCTGAAAACAGAATGTCAAAAAATTCATCAGGTTTTTGAACAAATGTGGTTTGTACAAGATCATCTCTTTGACCAAACTTTCCCCAGAGTGAATTGAGACATAATTTTGAAATGGCACGCTTAGCAGGATTGTGCTGAATCTTAGACGCATCTAATAGTATTCCCTGACGAAGTTGGTAGTCCTGAATGTATTTTCTTTTTGAGTCATCGTCAATCAATCCTTCAGGAAAACCAGACGCTTGTTGTTTCTGCTTCAAAAACGTGTTAATGTAACCTGCGAACACATCTTTACTGCTTTTCTCAAAATCCCAGACTTCAATCATTTTCAACAGACTGTAACCTGAATCCAAAGCGTAATTGAGCTCTACACTCACCCAAACGCCCGTCAAAGCACGTTGAGACGCGCTGTGTGAACAAGAATCAGATTGATTATTCATTTCAGCGCATGTGCGACACAGTGTAAAAACGAGTTTACCTTTGGATGTTTTAAAAGGCAGAACAGGGAAAAACAGTTTTCTGGGTGGCAAAACGACAGCTTTAATCAAGCCAAAATAGTGACTTGGATCTCTGAAATTTTTAACATGAATTTTGGGATGGCCTATGGGGTAAGTCTGTGTGGCGTTTACATAAGGGTACAGACTCGTAAAATCCACATAGTGGATTTTTTCACCGCTCTGAGCAGAATGCCTCAGCCGAACCGGACAAGTTCTGCCTCCATACAGGGCTTCACGAGGTAAAAGAGGAGCCGGCGGTGGATCAAATCTTGAGACAAACTGTTTCACGTCCGGATCAGTTTTTACCATCTCCTGCCAATCATGTTCCCAAATGACATTCATTTTTAATCGATGCACAGTTTCCAACGACTGAAGCTTTTCGACGGTTTTGTCATAAATTTCACCAAAAGTGATTTTTCTCAGAGGACATATGGATGACTGTAAGAAACATTTTGGACAGCCGTGGAAAAAACAACCCATATACTCAAACCCTTGTTCGACGCCTGAAATCACAGCATATCCGTCGAGATAAAAATCTCCCACTTTATACTCCCCCAAAGGCGTTAAAGCGTGTTGAATGTCTACATTTTGACTGTGTGAAACCCATTCCAACCACACGATGCTTGAACTTGAAAATGGTTTTTGTTGCGGTCGATAACCGAGCGGACAAGGAATGGCCAACCTGCAAACTTGCATCCAACATGGACTTTCTGGGAGTTGGGTGTGTGTGTTTATTTTCAGATCTTACAGCGTATTTATATGTAGTGTAACTCCATAATTTGGTAATTAGTTTTGAGAAAGTGTGTTCGATATTGACTTTTTGTTTATCGATACCCGATGTAGTCTAACTCTTAATTCCTGACAACATAATATGTAATATGTGGGGCCCGCCCACCCCTCATAAGGGGTACCAGCAGACCGGAAGGGTGAAGTGTCCTACCAAAGGACGCAACAACTACAAGAGACTGAGCAAGCAGGACAATTCATTAGCAAAATGGCTACAAGCCATTCGATTTCACAGGTGTTAACTTAAAATTCGGTGTGTTCATAGGTTTGCCATTCAAAACAGCTGGGAGTGTGCAAGATGATAAATATAATTATTTTCAATTCTTATTCCAAAATGTTGGACTGGCATCATCTTATATTAATAGATGAAGTGAATATTTCAGTTTTGTTATAAAAGTTGCTGTATATAAAGTTTTGTTCCAGGAATATTAGGCCTTTTATTTTAAGTTTTAGGTTTACTTAAGAGTGCTGTGAATTAATAAATAAGAGACTCTTTAAAACTGCAAGAGTGAGCAATTTAATGTTTATGGTCAGAATGTCAAGGTAAATCAAATCAATCAATCAGAGCTTTATTTATAAAGCGCCTTCCGAAACCCTGTCAGGAAGCCCTAGGCGCTGAACACAGTACATAAGAAATGTGAAACACAATGAATAAATAGATAATAAAAGCAATTCAAATAGTGCAAAAAAGGTAAAACATTTAAAAGTAGAAACAAATGGATAAAACAAGGGATAAAAACACCAATGAAAACAGGGAAATAAAATCAACAAAAAAGAAGGCCGACCTCAAACACGTTCAGGGGAACGTCGAGCGGAGGAGGTGGGGTTTTAGGCAACTCTTAAAGACCGGCAGATATGGGGACAGCCTAACTGAGGGTGGCAACTGGCTACAGAGTGAAACCGGAAGCTTGTTAGTGTTAATGGAAATATGTCATAACAGTACTGACGGTTACACTTATTTGAACATTTTAAATACATGGCATATCTGAAATTTACAATAAAATAACAAATGTTCAGCCAAGATCTGTAACAGACCCAAAACAGTGATGAAATATCAAAAAAGAAGTGTGGGTGGAGTAAGACTCTGGTAAGTAATTTTTGTTGTTAACAGTCGGATATTATTAACAAACATCAGTTTGAAACGCAACATGCCTTCATGTCATCACTGGTTTGTAACGAGGTTTCATTATCGATGTGCTGATACAGAAGCTCTCTCAGCTGGTTGGTGCTGCTCTCAACCTCCATCAGGGTTGACTCTCGCTTTGACACTTTCTCAGCCTTTTCCTGCTCCTAAGACACAACCGAAGATTCATCCAAAGATTCATCCATACCACCATTAAATCAAATATGAGGACCAGCAGTGCTGCAGTGCTCCTCGCCTCCTGGATGGTGCTTTTAATGAGCCTGTTGGCGGTTTCCAGGTCTTCAGGATGGCCACTCCTCAGTAGTCTAACCAACATCTAAGTTAAACACAGAATTGTTGAACAAATAAAATAGAGTGTGTTGTTTTAAAGTTACTCCGGTCTGTCACCTTGGCCTTGTCGTCTTGATCAAAAAACAAACTCTGTGGTTCTTTGAGGTGGAGGAGCCATAACAACTGTGTCTGGAAGTGTGGGATCCTTCTTCACGATGCCTAACACAAGAGAGATGAGAGGATTTTATTCTTGAAAATTTTCTTAGTTTTGGTAAACATAACATTAATTTTTAATGTGGTATTTCTCAGGTTGGCAAAATCCTGCAGAAAAAAAATCACGATTAGTGTTGTCCCTCACCTTGTTTCTTCAGCATGTTGTAGGCTTCCTGAATCTTAGGTTCCTCTTTAAGCCAGAGCGTCCAGCCGTAGAAGACCTCCGTGACTCTGTCTTTAACTTTCTGTGGACTCCACGCGCCAAAGGACTGAAATCAGTAGGTGATGATAATTAAACTATGCTGATCTGACTGAAATGCATAAAAATTACAAAACAGTTAGATTCCTTATTTAACCGAACCATAATTTAAATACCAAGATTTATAGAAAAAGAAATTATGTTAAGAAAGTATTTTTCTTTTAAGGTCTCTTTCACAACTATTGAGACAACAAGGATATTTTTTCATTTTTTCTGGTCACTCACAACATTGAAAATGGACATCAGATCAACAGTCTTACTAATCAGACTCTGTTTTACTTCCAGAAAAATCATTTTCAAAATCATCAGAAATTTAAAGCAGTAGTTCTTTGAAATAAATCTGTTTTGGCAGGTCAGAACTACACAAGAATCACAAATCGATATCGGCTCTAAAAACCAGAATCAGTTCATCCTCGAAGTTTAGGTTTTCATTTATAATTTGCTGTAGCTTTGGAATATTGTTCAGCACATTGGTTGTTTTTACTACAACAGTAAACTATCTTTATGATGAATAAAGTATGTTACACAAATCTTCATATTGAGCTTTTTTTTTTTGAAGAACTAAACTCAAATGAATTGAGTAATAAAAAAAGCTTATTTTGAAAGGACAAATTAAACATCAACTATCTACTTTTCAAAGTGAAAAAACTGTGTTAAACTTGGACCAGATAGGTTTTCAGATACGTTTATTAACTGCACTGATTTATGTTAGTGGGTCTATGACACCTGTGAGTTACCTTTGGCGTTAAGACTTTGATAAGTTCATTCAGAAAGCGAAACTTAGCTGCCTCGCTGCGGAACCGCTTTCCACAATTGTTCATACAAGCCTCCAGAACCTGGAAAGCATCAAAGAGAATATTATCGTTACCTCCAAACACGTTGGAAGTGTGGTTAACCAGCCTTAAATGTCACATGATGCGATTCACGGCACCCTTGAAAAGTTACGATTCACAGCAGAATCACGGTATCAAACGGTGTAAGTTCTCAGCAGATTTATTCCTCATTTTTCTTGCTCATGCAGTAATTTAGTGCTAATCACTAGATTGCTCTCTTCAACAGGAAATGGACTAAATCATTGGAGGTACTATGATGACCTTTGATTAAAAACAGATACTGTACATCAAAATACTGATGAAAATCATGCCATTGATATTTGTCTTGTTCAAACAATATAAAAAGATTAATTTAAAATTTGAAGTCTAATGTGTTGAAGTGAGATCTGCCAGTTGGTGAACCTGCATCATCTGTATGTATGTTTATGTGAAGTTTGGTTACCGACAGTGAGAGCCTGAAGAGCTTCTTTCTCATGTGGAGACGGGATTTTATGGGGGAAGAAGACATAGAGCTACTTGTGGCCTGAAAGCACAAAATATTTAATTAAATTCATACAATCTCAGAAACACAGTACTTGCATGAAGTCCTCCAGAAATTTCTGTGCACTCTAGAAAAGCTAAAAGGAATTAATTAAAACGGTAATATAAAATATAACTGCTATGGGAGACACAGCCACTTAGACAAACCTGATGCAAAAGGGTGAAACCTGAATTAGCTAAATATCGTTAATTTGTAATGTAAAATGAATCATTACCAAGGGCTTTAGATATTTGCTTCTTTTTAACACACTTGAGTAAAAAGAACATGTCTCCCCTGAATAAAAATCTATAGTTTTCTTTGCAAAAACACTTTTACTGATGAATAAAAGTAAAGAAATACAGGGATTTCTTCAAAAATAATTATCTTTGGGCTGACTCTAAATGTCGATGCAAAAAAAAGGGTCTTTTCTTTTTAAAAATATTATGATTTTCTTTTGTTGTCTTCTAACTTCCTGTTAGTGATCATAACATACTGATTTACACAGGACTGTATGTTGCAGGCATCTCATGAACAAGCAAGCAAAGATCCTAAAACAGGTCTGCTCTGAACTGAAAACTTTTTTTAGAAAGATCTAAATGCCCTAAAACAGCGCAAAAAAAAAATCACAGCTGATCACAAAGACTTTCACATATTCTTCATAACGATATTTCTATTTAAATTGGAAAAAGTTTAAGGTGTTTAAATAACACCTGTGCCGAGATTAGTTTCAGACATGAGTCATTAATTACTCATCTAGATTTTACCAGCATTTTTCCTTTGAAACCTACTAAATAAAAAGGTTAAAGGAAATGCATTGTAACATGTTATTCTTTTATGGGATTTTATAATGAAGTATTTATAAGAATCGTTGGATTTAGTATCAGATAAGGTTCATTTAGTAGTTACAACTCTGGTAAAAACACCAGTACGTTTTACTAACCTACGTTTGCTGGAAACTCTTCCGAGTTACTTTAATTTTGTTTTCGTGTGACATGAAAGTAGATTATTAAATCATCGGCACAAATGATACAGCGCTCGAGCGCCTCTCCCTCAGGCACGCGCACAAGCTAAGCAACTTCCTGCTCCAGCTAAAATTATTTCTACTTTTAATATTATTTTTATTTAGTAAAAGCTAAATAAAGTGCGGACAGAGCATTAATAAGCGCTGCTTTACATAAATGCAATAAAGTTTAAACACCGAGTGGAAATGACGTTTTTGGTGACATTTACAGCAACCATCGGTGGAGATGAAATGACGAGATGCAAGCTAGCATCGCGTCTCATCCTTAAACAAGCAGCTAAAAAGTAAACTTTTGTCTGTAGCGTGTTTACTTACTGAGCCTGCGTGTCCACCACAGTCGCCATAGCTGCCCGTCTCTAACTGGTGCGGGGACAGTTTCTGACCGGAGCGTGTCTGCGCTTGAGGCGAAGGTGTCAAACTGCAGTTTGTTTATGGTGACATGTGACCAAGTTACACAAAACACCCCTTCCCCTCACTGAGGGCGATTCGTCTAACTGCAATATTTTAGAGGAAATTCTTTTACATTTTGACACAATAACTTTTATTCTTAGGTGGAAAACAATTACAAATAGCTATTTAGGGGTTTTAACTCAGAATTGTCATTAAGAGTTGATTTTACTTCAGATTATTTTACAAATTTATACTACTTATCACGTCGTTGTTCAATTTTCCAAGCAACTAGATAATGGAAATAACTTTTAAAATGCCTGTAAATTGTTGCCGGATTAATATTTCCTATTTCCAAAATACAGATTTCTTATTTGTTTGTAAATATCAGTAAAATAATGATCATTTAAATAAAAGTTAAACAACTTTGTGGTCATTTAATAATAGTTCTGCTTAATAAAGGTTAAAGTACAAGCAAATGAGGCGTGTGCTTTTTTTACACTCATTTTATGTAAATGTTCATTCTAGAGTGATTTATTTGTTCATATTAAAAGGGTAAAAGCACTGCGGCACTTCCTCATCCGTGTGCACAAATACAGGTGGTTCAATAAATCCTCAAGAAAAAAGAAACAAAACATACAATTTGTTCTCAACTCATTTATAAAATTATTTTCATTGAATAAATAGTATTATTCACCATGACAGTTTCATGTGAAATTAGACCTTTAAGTTTTGTCATATTAGCCACATGTGGGATGACTGACAGTCAGTGAGCTGATTTGAAGCTGCTCTGATCTTTAACTCATGTTTTGTGTGTGTGTGTGTGTGTGTGTGTGTGTGTGTGTGTGTGTGTGTGTGTGTGTGTGTGACAGTGGAAACAAAAAGTCACAAAATGTGACACTAAAGGCAGGAGGCGAGGGGTTAAGCTTTCAGTGTTGATGATGACGAACCAAAGGATGCTGTTCACCTAAATAGCTCTTTGAAACAATAGTAAGTCATTTGCTTTGTGAGTATCACCGTGCCAACTTGTTTAGAATGAGCTTTAAGAAAGCTCAACAGTTCTTTGTTGACCAACTTCCTGGCACTCTTTCAAACAAGCCCACCTGCAGAACAATAAGTAAGTTAAATGCTTTGTGGTTGAGATGGGTGATTTTGTTGTAAAGTATAAGGAGAGGTGTGGCTGAATGGCTGATTAGAGTTGGTAACCCCAAATTCTTTACTTGTCTTAGAGAGAGTCATGCATTTCGTGAAAGGGGAAAGTGGTTTAAATGTATGCGTGTGTGTGTGTGTGTGTGTGTGTGTGTGTGTGTGTGTGTGTGTGTGTGTGTGTGTGTGTGTGTGTGTGTGTGTGTGTGTGTGTGTGTGTGTGTGTGTGTGTGTGTGTGTGTGTGTGTGTGTGTTTACAGCCTCTGATGATTCATCCATTATTTGAGGTGCTGCTAGACAGAAAGTTTTACACAATAGTTTTAGTTCTGGTCAAAAAGTGTCAGTGAGCTGCATGTAAATAACACATTTAAACACAAAGTTTAAGACTGAACATACGAAATCCAACGTGAACATATGCCAGATGGCTGAGTAAATCAAAGAGATTATTAATGACATAGACAATGCGTCACTCTGAAGAGTTTGTGTGTGTTCAGCAAAAGGCTGCAAAAGTTCTTGCATTGACTTCAGCTTATGCCACCCACTCGAGAGCAAGCAGACCATCCCATTTGCTTTGTGAGTTGTCGACTAAAAGCGTCACACTGAGGTAAGGATCAACTTTTATTCTTATAGGCTTGAGTATGCTGGGTGGTTTACAACAGAACCATAAATGGTTTAGGATGGCAAACCATTGCTTTTCTGAAGTGAGAGAAATGTATGAATGGTGTTTAGAGTTGGTAACAGAGAGAGTCAGACATTTTCTGAAAGGGGAAAGTGCTTTAAATGTGTGTGTGTGTGTGTGTGTGTGTGTGTGTGTGTGTGTGTGTGTGTGTGTGTGTGTGTGTGTGTGTGTGTGTGTGTGTGTGTGTGTGTGTGTGTGTGTGTGTGTGTGTGTGTGTGTGTGTGTGTGTGTGTGTGTGTGTGTGTGTGTGCTTACAGCCTCTGATGATTCATCCATTATTTGAGGTGCTGCTGGACAGAGAGTTTTACACAATAGTTTTAGTTCTGGTCAAAAAGTGTCTGAGAGCTGCATGTAAATAACACATTTAAACACAAAGTTTAAGACTGAACATACGAAATCCAACGTGAACATATGCCAGATGGCTGAGTAAATCAAAGAGAGCAGGGAGTATTAATGACATAGACAATGTGTCACTCTGAAGAGTTTGTGTGTGTGTTCAGCAAAAGGCTGCAAAAGTTCTTGCATTGACTTCAGCTTATGCCACCCACTCGAGAGCAAGCAGACCATCCCATCTTGTTTGCTACTTCACAAACAGATTCTTTAACTTTGAGGAGACGTACAACCATTTCATAAGTACTTGACCAGCGTGTGGGGCTGTCATTCACAGCAGTTAGGCCGCACTCATCCACTGTCAGTGAGCCATTTTTTTCTTAGAGCTCGGCTTTTCACCATTCGGACAGATCTGAGCTTTTAAAGAGTTATACACAATAGGTTACACTCAGAAGGGAGGGGGGCTGTGGGAACCGATGGGCTATCACAAAAAGAAACTTCACACACCATTACACACATTAGCCTATGACGTGGGGAATCATGGACATCTGGACACGTTCAACAATACGCCATTGATGATGCGGCGTGGGGGGTCTAGGCCATCTGGACGATCAACAATACACCTGTCCATTTGATTAATGATACGGAAGGGGGGGCAAAGATTGAACAATACACCTGTCCATTTGATTAATGATAGGAAGGGGGGGGAAGGTCAAGGGTCAAATGAACAATAGGAATGAAAGGTCAAAGAACAATAGACCTGTCAAAAAGTTTGACGAAAGGTGTCTTATAATTCTCTCTGTTCTCAACACAATGTTGTCTTAGTTTAAAACTCTAGTGTGAAAGGTGGCAGGAACATGTGCTTTCTGGGAGTTTAGTTTTGTTTTTAATCCTATGCTGTATTAAAACGTGTTTCTGAAGGCTATACGGTGCCAGGAATTCAACATTTCTGAGTTGTCTTTGTGCTCAACAAAATCAAAAGCTCCTTTCAGGGGTAACAGGTACTACAGCTGCAGTTCTGATCTTTCTTTGTTAACCTAGATTGGGTTTTTTCTACTTCTGAGCTTGCTCACATAAAAGAGCATTTTGATGTATAGAAGTCAGATTTGATTGTCTAAAACCAGCCTAAAGTGTGCCTGTGCTTCATTCTTTAGTTTTTTTACTGTATGCTTGATGATTTTTACATTTGTAAATATTTATTAATAAAGAACATTTTTTCTAATAAATGGCTTCATTCACACGACTGCTCTCTGGTGAATTTCAATTAACCTCCCTGTCAGTCAGATTTGTGCCAGAGAGACACTAAAAGGAGTTTAGCTTCTTTAAATTAATCCATGACTGAGCATATACTGTACTCTGAACCTCAATCCTGCACACACACACACACTCACACACACACACACACACACACACACACACACACACACTGCATCAATAACATTCCTGCTGCATTTGAACTAATTTAATCACTGAATCCAAATGGTTCAATTTCTAATAACTATGTAATAACTGCCTCTGAGCGACCTGTGTGTGTGTGTGTGTGTGTGTGTGTGTGTGTGTGTGTGTGTGTGTGTGTGTGTGTGTGTGTGTGTGTGTGTGTGTGTGTGTGTGTGTGTGTGTGTGTGTGTGTGTGTGTGTGTGTGTGTGTGTGTGTGTGTGTGTGTGTGTGTGTGTGTGTGTGTGTGTGTGTGTGTGTGTGTGTGTGTGTGTGTGTGTGTGTGTGATATGTTTAAGAAGGAGAGCTGTTTGAGCAGTGGCTTCTTGTCTTTCACTAACTTAATTGTCTCTAGTTTTGGCACAAATTAGTGGTTTAAGTGGAAAAAAAATAAGAACCAGTACAAACCTCAATGTATGACCGTAAGAGCACAATGGTGTAACGTGAGGAAATGTGGGTTTTCTGTGCCAAAGGTCATTTGTCTCGGCTGGGTCAAGAGCTGGGTCGCTGAGAACTTTCACCCACAGATTAAGACCTGAACGCCAGCGAGTCTGGGAGAAACCATAACATTTGAACACCTGCAGGGCCAGAAGATGTGTTCCCATGGAAAAGCTAGTCATAACATAACATAAAGTCTTAAACTTCCTTTCCGTTGTTTATTAATGCTAAATAATCATTTTACCATTTTACTCATTATAAATGTGTTTTAATCAAATGAATGATTATTATGCTTTGGGTAATCATAACTATAATGAATCCATACTTAATTAAATAATGTTTGAAGATGTTTTAGTGGTGACCTTCACACACTCAAACATTCACACACACACAGACTCTCACAGTAAACTCCAAAACACATTTGCTGACGCACACGTTTTGCTTTGAGAAGAGAAAGGCTTTTGGTAAGTTTTTCAGTCTTATGATTCAGTTCGTGCTTGACCCCGAAAGAGAGAAGACCTGAATAAACGCAAAAGGGGGGACAGAGCCGATCGGCTCATTCCCCCCCCCCCCCCCCCCCCCCCCACGCTATTCTTGCCAAGTCAGACAGGAATAGCTGAATTGCAACAACTAACGCGGACTCGCCTCGAGTCTTTTGATTTCTGAGTGAACTAAGCTTAAGAAAACGCATCTGCAAACGTTTTTCCATCAACGTGTACCGCGGGCATCTCTGGACCGGGTCGCGGACATCTGCGTCTCCTCTGCCAGCCGCTGGTGTCACCTGGATGAAACATCACCATCCTCTGGCGTCCCGGATCTAAAAGAGTGTCCGACTTCGGTGAGGCAGTACACATAGATAGCGTTTGATGCATCTTTTCCAACAAAACCTAAGTTTATTCAAACCTTCACTTTTCACTCAGCCACCTGTTTCTTCCTGAAGCAAAATCAGACGCACACACGCATTCATCTCACCTTATTCCATAATCACATCACATCACACTCAACCTTCAGCACATCCTACACCAGGTCTATTTGAGCAAGTTTACAATATCAACTGTTAAACATTGTCCCACAAAGTTGCCAATGTTGATTGTTATTTACTATGATTGTCATTTCAAAATCATTAGTTTAATTGGAATAATTAAATCTTTTAACTTTCAGCTTGTCTCTTCATTGAACTGAAACACAGACCCACGGATATTATCGACAGTTTATCGATGAAAACAACCTTTGAGTCTTCTTAAAACTATAAAATATGTAGGATGGTTCCTCTTTCATAAAAGAGCATAAACCATTACTCTACATAATTAAAAGAGCCTAATCAGGTTCACTACATTTTGACCAGCCAGCCAGTCCTACAATGGGATGAGGCGCAGGACTCTGAGGCAGAATGATTTTGACTGGTCAATGCCAGAAAATGTCTCCGCATGCTAAGTGGTACAGCACTGGTCCGCTTAAAGCACTAGAACATAGATTTTACTAGCACCTCTAATGAATATAATAAGTCAGCAGCATGGACTGATGAGTTCAGTTCAATTCAAGTTTATTTATATAGCGCCAAATCACGACAGGAGTCGTCTCAAGGCACTTCACATAATAAACATTCCAGTTCAGGTCAGTTCATTAAGCCAATCAGAAATAATGTTTCCTATATAAGGAACCCAGCAGATTGATTGATTGATTGATTGATTGATGATTGAAAACACATTTTAAAATAATCATAAAAACAAATAGAAAAAACAACTAAAAAAAACAATGTTATGCTTTGTAATAACCTGTTTTTAAAATGTTTGGTGTTAACTTTTGTTAACTAAATATTTCTACCCAATTCTTTTTTTTCCTTGTTCCTGATATTTACAGCTTACATTTTCAAAAAACAAATAGCCAGCGTTCTGATTGAAAACTGAAGAAATTGAATCACACACGCACATCTTTTCATGTTGAGCTTTTATTTTAGATATGCATTATGTACATTTTTCTAACTGCTTCATGTTTATTCATGAACTCCTTTTGAAAGCATTTGTTTTGCAAAAAAGAAAATAAAAAGTTAACTTCTGCGATATCTTTATCCGGCAGTACTTATTAAGTATGCTTTCTTATACTTTAGAAAAATATCTGATAATCTCTGAAAGGCGTGATGTCTTCCAACATTGTGTTTGGCCTGCTATTTCTGTGTTAATAACCTGAAATCAGAACAGAACATCTTGGTCCAAAACAACACAGATTCAAAAAATGTAATAAAAATAATGATAA